TTATGGCTAGAGAGGTTGAGCATTTCTTCATATTGGCCATTCTTATTTCCTCTTCAGAGGAGTTTTTCTTTAAGTCTTTAGCCCACTTATTTATTGGGCAGTTCTTTCTTTGGGGGTTTGTTGGAGGATTTAAGTTTTTGAGTTTGAGGTATATTTTAGATATGAAACCCTTGTCCATTATATGACTAGTGAAGATCTTTTCCCAATCTGTGGGCTTTCTTTGATCTTGCTAGCTATGTCCTTTGCCATGCAGAAGCCCTGCAACTTCATGCAATCCCATTGTCCAACCTTTCTTTGGTCTGTTGTGTTTCTGGGTCTCTAGTAAGAAAAATTCATCCTGTGCCAAGGAGACCTAGGGTTTCTCCTATTCCTTCCTGTAATGTTTTCATGGTGTCTGCTTTGACTTCGAGGTCTTTGATCCATTCATTTTTAAATTATTTATTGAGAGACTACTCTGCCAGGACCATAGAAGGTGAGCTCATCTTTCCCTGGTATTGATGAAATCTTTGCTTCAGGCATTAGACTTTCCTAGGATCTAGAGTGAGTACTATTGTCTCCCATCATCAGGGTCCAGATAATCAAGGTGAATCCCTGCGAGGCATGTAATCATGAACATGTAATCATGAACAGCGCTAGCACTCTTATACTTGCTGGGTAATCCTCATTTGTGCCTGGCTGAGCTCCAGAAAGCTCAGTGCCAACTGATACAGAACATATGTAGATGTCACTCCCAGTGCAAGGATTAAAGGACTCTGGAATTATTAGGTTTTTGGTCTTTTTTGTTTTAAGTAGCCTTTCCACCGGTTAGCAATTGAGTAAGTAGTGGAGATAGATTATTGATTAACAAATGCAGGTATAAGCAGTAAGGCCTGCTTTTTCATTTTCATCTCCATACAAAGTTGATAGTGAATTTCAATTATATGACAAGGTGCACTGCAATTTCTTTGTAGATGTGTAGCAATATGCTAGTGTGTGTGTGGGGGGGGGCTAATATTTTTCTCACTGGAAAGAAAAAATGAAACTAAAAATGACCATTGTGGAAGTAAAAGTGGCAAGTTACCAAGAAAATTAAAGGCAAGGATGACAAGAAGTGGGAAGCAAGATCAGCTTACCTTTGAGAGGGTAGTGCTATTTGGGAATACAAGAACTCCAGATTCTGCTTTCTGAAAGCCAGTTCAGGTGAGTACAGTGCTTGAATTGAATACATGAATTTTCTTGTTGACAGATGAATAATTTTTCATAGTGTTATAACTAGAAGAGCCTTTAGTCCACCCTGTCTTTCTTCAGGCTATTTAAACTGCTGTTGTGGATGATTATAACCTAAGTGGTTATAAACAATAGATACTTATTTTTTCACAGTTCTGAAGACTAAGACATCTAATATCAAAGCAGCAACAGATTCCATGTGTGCTGAGGGCCAGCATATCAGTTTGTAAATGTCCCCGCATACTAGAGAAGCAGAGTAGCTTTATCAGGTCTCTTTTGTTGTTTTTGTGCTGGCCCCTGGGGCTTGAACTCAGGGCCTGGGCACTGTGCCTGAGCCTGTATATGCTCAAGGCTAGCACTCTACCACTTGAGCCACACCATCACTCAAAGCTTTTTCTGAGTAGTTTATTAGAAATAAGAGTCACATGGACTTTGCTGCCCTGGCTGGCCTCAAACTGTGCTCTCATATCTCTACCTCTTGGGTAATTAGTCTTACAAACATGAGTCACCTGCACCTGGCTCAGGTCTGTTTTATAAACATACTAGGCTTATTCATGAGGGCCTCACTCTTGTAACCTAATCATTTCTCAAAGGCCCAACTCTTACTAGCATTGTATTAGGCAGTGGGTTTCAATCTAAGAATTTGGGAGGGAACATAAATATCCAGTCTTCCTTTAACATATACACTCACCCCCACCCTCCCCACCCCCTCATATACATATACATGATGGCTGTTTTAATGAATATGTTTATTGGTTATGGAATTATTACATAATACGTACATAGTTAAATCATGCTATACATGTTAAAATATAATTTTTCTTTTTCTCTTTTTTTAAAATTTGCCTTCTTTTTTAAAATAAGGCAGCAGCAGCTAGAAGGCTTCCATGATCTCTGAAGCCACCTAGCAAGGAGGAAAATCACCAGCAGGCCCAGGTGTATAGGCCACTGGGTTACATCCCTCCTTAAGACCAGAACTAATGAATTAATGGCAGGGATGGAATTTGATCTGGTGCTGGATTCTGTGTCCCTAGCCAAACCTGATGGTGCATATTCCATAAATGTTCTGTATCACTTAGCCAAGCATGGAATGTGGACAGAAATGCAGGACCTGTCCTCAAGAACTTAGCTATTTAAAATGTCTGAAAATGCAAAACAAAAAACAAATACTACTGTATCTCTTCTGTACTGATCTTTTATATATAATGATAGCCACCGGCTCCAAAAACCATCATCTTCATTTTGTGACTCTTCCTTTTGATTATCAAGCAGAAAGTCATGTTATTATATATAAGTAGCCTGCACACACACACACACACACACACACAACACAAGTGTGTTGGAATTATGAACCCCTGGGCTTGTAGTAGTGATCTTCTAATTACTCTTGCTGTGGAGGTAGAAGGGAGTTGTAGTACTAGACAGGCCCTTGGAGAAGATGCCCCAACCCCCACTAGCTGTGCTTTGCCAGATCTAATGACTTTGGAGCTAAATGCCAGTACTTCTTTCTGAGTATTTTCCAGTGCTGACCATTGATGGTTTGATAGTTCTGGGAATCATGTGACTGTTCTCAGGATGGAAGTTTTTGCTGTAGCCTTATAAGCAGATTCTTAATAAACAATTATACTATTAGTATAGACCCATTTCTTTGATGAACATCGATGTAAAACTTCTCAACAAAATTTTGACCAATTGACTTCAATAATTCATCCAAAAAATCATACACCACGATCAAACAGGATTCATTTCAGGGAAGCAATGCTGGTTCAATATATGCATATCAATTAATATAATTTATGACATCAACAAGAGCAAGGATAAGAACCACATGGTAATCTCAATAGATGCAGAAAAAGCATTAGACAAGATCCAACACACCTTTATGATGAAGGCTCTGGAAAAATTAGGAATCCATGGAACATTCCTCAATACAATAAAGGCTGTATATAACAAACCTACAGCCAGCATTATTCTTAATGGTGAAAAACTAAAGCCATTTTCTCTAAACTCAGGAATGAGATAAGGATGTCCACTCTCTCCACTTTTCTTCAATTTACTATTTAGAATGCCTACCTACAGCAATAAGACGAGATGCAAACCTAAAAGGGATACAAATAGGGAAAGATGAAGTAAAACTCTCCCTTTTTGCAAATGACATACTCTTATATTTAAAGAATCCCACAGACTCCACTCCCAAATTATTTGAGCTGATT